AAACTTTCAACCCAGAATTCTATGTCTAGCAAAAATATCCTTCAAAAGTGAAATAAAGACTTTCTTAGACAAACAAAAACTGAGGGAATTCACTGTCGCCAGACCTACTCTACAAGAAATGTTAAAGGAAGTTCTTTAAGCAGACAGAATATGATATAGGTTAAAAACCTAGATCTACACAAAGAAATGGAAATACACTGGTATAACATACTGTATGTGTATGTGAAAGGACATTATACCAATATATTTTCATTTCCTCCCAGCCATCCCTTGTGCTATTGTTGTCATATATATAACGTATATTTTACTTTTATATATACTATAAACAACCCATACGTTGTCACTGTTATTGCTTTAACCAGTCCGTTATCTTTTAGTACAATTAAAAATATTATGTTTTATCTTTATTCCTTCCATTTCTGATGCTCTTCATTTCCCTCAGTTTTTGTTTGTTGGCACTTGGCTGCTAACCAAAAGGTTGGTGGTTCAAACCCACCCAGCAGCTCCGTGGGAGAAAGTCCTGGCAGTCTGCTTTCATAAAGATTACAGTCTAGGAAACCTTATGGGGCAGTTATGCTCTGTGACATGGGGTTGCTGTGAGTCAAAAATCAACTCGACGGCACCCAACAACAACCACAGCTCCAAGTTATCTAATATCTTTTCTCAGCTGTGTCACATCTCCTGATGATACTGTTGAGAGCATTCATTATTTCTGTTACTATGTTTTTTATTTCTAGCATTTTCATCTGATTCTTATAGTTTACATGCCTTTGCTAAAATTAAGCTATCTGATCTTGAATGATGTCTAATTTTTCCCTTAGAGCTTTTAACATATCATACATTATTTAAAATTCCCTGTCTGATGGTTTCAACATCTCTGTCATATTTGAGTTGTGTTGTGATCATTGCTTTCTCTCTTCCAACTGTGTTTTTTTTTTTGTTTGTTTGTTTTTGGGTATGTCTGGTATTTTTTTGGTTGAAAGCTGAACATGTTATACTGGATAATAGATACTGAGATAAATAGGCTTTAATGTGGAAATTTGTATTAATCTAGTCAGGAGTTGGAATATGTTTAAGATTTGTTGTCCCTGTGGTTACCAGCTTTGAGGTTTGTGTTGCTATGAGCACCAAACCAAAAAACAACCAACCCCACTGTCTAGTTGATGCCAACTCATAGCGACCCTGCAGGACAGAGTAGAACTGCCCCATAGGGTTTCCAAGCATGTAATCTTTACAGAAGCAGACTGCCACGTCTTTCTCCCGCAGAGCGCCTGGTGGGTTTGAACCACTAACTTTTCAGTTAACATCCCCACAGAAAAGAAGACTTTGAGAAAACCTATCTTTCCCCACAATCATCCAGAAATGGTTTTCTTTTTGGAGCCTAGACGCCATGGAATTATAATTCTGGGAGGAGAGTTACACCATGACTCCTGCATTTGAACAGGGTTATTTTGGCTGAACCTGAGTCTGTATTAGGGTCCTGTTTGCAAGTCGCCACCGCCACCTTGTGTGACAGGGACATTTCTGTGAATGTGGAGACACAGCTTCTCTGTTTTCCTCCTCCACTTAATCCTTGGCTTCCTCTTATTACTCATGAGAAAACTATTGTACATAATTTCTGTTTCTGGCCATTCAGTTCAACAACTAGCTATTGAGTTTCTGGAATAAAGATTATAAAGGTTATTTGGTTTAATGCTTAGAGAATATGGACATTTCATTTTGAGGAACTTGTACAGAAACAGGTAGTTTGGATTGAAAGATCAGTGACTCTCCCTTCCATACTAGAGATGTTCTAGTGCTCTCTCTTTTGTTTTCTCTCACAGACGTCTCAGGCACATTAGTTTGTCAGAATCAGCCAATTCACCACTGCCCTTTTCCTGAAGTGAAATTGTGGGAAGTAAAGAAAAAGAAGCTTGAATTAAATGTTTTTGTATTTACAGTGTATAGATTGACCACTACTGGGAAGGCTTTTTTTTTTTTTTAACTCAAGATCTTTGTTGATTTCACTGTAACAGCAACCATTGGTGAGAATTTAATTTTTTTCTTAATTTCCAGACATCTGTTCATTTTGAAGGACAGTTAAAACACTGAACTGATCATGGAATCACTCAGGACTGCCTCAAGGACTGCATGGTACCCTCTGCTATCCATCCATGGATGGGAGGGGTGAAGGAAGGGGCACACAGGGGAGATGCAGGGAAGACCAGGGGACGTGCTGGCAGTCTCCACTTTCCATTCAGAATGGATGGAGTGGGCCATTTGGTGGCACCAAGACAGGGAAGGCATTTTCTTTATAAAGTATATTAAAGACGCTTAAAATGGACACCTGAATATGTGAATGTCCTATGGGCTCTCCAAGATACCTTCTTTAACCTTTTGTTACTTCATTTTTCTCAATTTTTTTTTTTTTTTTCATGGCATGTGTTTTCAGTACTGAACTGCATGCTCACTAATTGAGTGTGTTTAGATTTCTGGTTTGTAGTGTGGATTTTGATAAATATGATCTGGTAATACAAGGCAGCAGTGAGGCGAGTGGCACTGTGGCACCACCAGTCTGTGGTATGACAATATACCAATGAAAGCGGTATAGACAATTTATTGCAGGTACCTTTCCATTAGGTTACATGGGGAACTTGTGGTTTTCCAAGTATGACACAGAGAAACCAAAACAAACCCATCATGCTTCCTAACTATCACACAGGAAAGCCATAATTATGCTCACAAGCCTTATCTCACAGAAATAAAGGGGAAAAAAGGCAAACGTTTACAAAACTAACATATCCAGGAAGCATCACCTAATAGAATGTTCAACCTGCACAACAATGAGGCTCCGATTCTGGTATACTGTGCTTCATGGATTTCAAAAGGAACCCACCTTGACGCTAAATGCATTAGAACTGGAATAACGCCTTACCTCGGAGGTCCAGAGGCATAAAAAGTACCTGGTATACCAGTAATCCAATAGTAACAAAACAGTTTAAGGTTTAACCCTGAGGAAGCAGAGGAAAGAAGTGGGCCCCGTTTTCAGGTGAAGGAAAGGCACTGGCTCCCAGTACTGGTTAATGTAGACACAGACCTCAGGAGCAGGATGACTCACCCACACAACTCGCCCGTTACCTTTGCACTCGTGTTCACCCCCAACACACACTCCCATGGTTTCAAGTAAAAATGACCCCTGGCCTGGGCTTGGATTTCTTTCTTATGGAGAGGGAGGGGTTGTACTGGGGCTAGAATGGATATTCTGTGCTAGATTCGTTGAACCCTCTAAGCTTGACGTGTCCAGGAATTTTGGTTTTAAGAACCAGCAGCAGCTCACTTTGGAAATTTCACTGCAGCCAAATCATTATCCAGCATTGCAGCATCGCTCTTCCAGCTTCCCACCATTAGCAAGGTGGCAGAGTGGGAATTTAAATCCCTGGGAGTTTTGTCCCATCTCAGTAAAGTTTTCCACATGGCATCCATGACATACAGTATGGTCTGCAGGGCTGCAGGCAGAGGTTAAATTACACAAAGAGGAAACCACAGATGATCTGAGCAGGGGACTCAAAAGACCTTCCCTAAATGTAAGCTTTGACAAATGGCATCAACTTCCAGGAGCAGCCTAGAGAAAGAAATTTAAATTCCAGAGGATGGGAAAAGTGAATGATTAATTGGAAAAATTAGTATGTACATAGATCAAGAGGCAGTCGTTCTTACAGAACAAGGGGTACTGCGTGGTTTAAAGTTAGGAAAGGTGTGCGTCAGGGTTGTATCGTTTCAGCATACTTATTCAGTCTGTATGCTGAACAGATAATCCAGGAAGCTCCACTGTATGAAGAACAGGCATCAGGACTAGAGAAAGACTCATTAACAACCTGTGATATACAGATGACACAACCGTCTTGCTGAAAGTAAAGAGGACTTGAAACACTTACTGATGAAGACCAAAGACTACAGCCTTCAGTACAGATTACACTTCAACATAAAGAAAACAAAAATCCTCACAGCTGGACCGATAAGCAACATCATGATAAACAGAAAAGACTGAAGTTGTCAAGGATTTCATTTTACTTGGATCCACAGTCAACACCCATAGAAGCAGCAGTCAAGAAATCAGACAACGCATTGTATTGGGAAAATCTGAAAAAGACCTCTTTAAAGTGTTAAAAAGCAAAGATGTCACGTTGAAGACTAAGGCACACCTGATCCAAGCCATGGTGTTTTCAGTCCCCTCATATGCATGTGAAAGTTGGACGATGAATAAGGAAGACCGAAGAAGAACTGACGCCTTTGAATTATGATGTTGGTGAAGAATATTGAATATACCAGGGACTGCAAAAAGAACGAACAAATCTGCCTTGGAAGAAGTACAGCCAGAATGCTCCTTAGAAGCAAGGATGGCGAGACTTCATCTTACATACTTTGGACATGTTATCAGGAGGGACCAGTCCCTGGAGAAGGACACCGTGCTTGGTAGAGGATCAGTGAAAGAGGACGACCCGCAACCAGATGAACTGATACAGTGGCTGCAACAATGGGCTCAAGCATAACGATTGTGAGGATGGTGCAGGACTGGGCAGTGTTTCCTTCTGTTGTGCATGGGGTCGCTATGAGTCAGAACTGACTTAACAGCACCTAACAGCAACAACAACAACCCCATAATCTAAAATGAAGGGGCTGCATTGCTGGGTTTTCCTTAATAATAAGGGAGAAATGTTCCTGATGCTCTTCTAACTAGATGTTTTACTTTTTAGTAACTTTGTAAGAGGTAAATCATTTCTGTGAGCAATACTGAATAAATCCAGGAATATGCACAGCCATGATTCCTGTAAGGCTCACGATGAACTTTTGCTATCCTCTTGGCAGAATTATTCCCTTTTCTTTTAATGCTCCAGAGCTGTTTTACCATGATTAACACACTGTTTAGTGGCTCCATGTTCAAATTAATTCATTAGCTTTTTGTTGAAATTAAATTCATTAGTTTTTTTGGTCATGGAATTTTTACTTCTTTATTTTTCCAGAAAGAACTAGAGAAGCAGAAGAGAATTGAGAGGAACCAGCAGCTGGAGGCACTAGCAAAGGAACATTATGGAAGGGTCGTGCTAAGAAAAAAAGGTTTGGAGCCTTGGAAGAGATTGAGAATGCAAAGCAAGCAAAATATCCAGGTATAAGTATCACACTATTACCCCTCCAATTTTTTTCAAATGGCATGAACACCCATTTAGACTTTGGAGGGAGTTTGGTGATTTAAAAGCCAGAAGGATAAATGAATGTGTGTATTTCTTTGGGATAAAAGTTTAGATTTGGTCATCCAAGGTAGAGAAAGACTAGTATAAATGAACAGGTTGGAAAAAACTAGAGTTAGAGACCTCCAAAGTAAGATGAATGGAGGCTTCTCTCAATTTTGGCAGAGTTTAAGAAAGAGAAAATGATTACCATCAAGTGTATTAAGTTTCTGCTATGATAATTTGCTTAACAAATTAGCTCCCAAATGTCAGTGGCTTATAGCGCAAGCATTTACTTCTCACACGTCTGTGGGCCACTTGTGGACTGGGCTCAGATCTCTGTATAAGCTTCTTATTTTGGTTCTAGCAGCTACTTAGGACATGCCTTTCTTCTAGCAAATGTCAGAGGTGCAAAAGGGCACACCAAATTATGTCAGCCCATGTGCAGGCTGTGGTTGTATCTTCTCGGTTAACATTCCATTAGCCAAAGCAAATCATAGGGCCAAGCTCAAGGTCATTGAGGGGAGAAGTAGGCTCTACCTATTCCACTGGGAGGCCCTGTGAAGTCACTTTGCAAAGGGTAGACCAAAACCAAACCCACTGCCGTCAAGTTAATTCTGACTCACAGCAACCCCATAGGACAGAGTAGAACTGCCCCATAGGGTTTCCAAGGCTGTAATCTTTACAGGAGCAGACTGCCACATCTTTCTCCCACAGGGCAGCTGGTGGGTTTGAATGGCCAACCTTTCGGTTAGCAGCCAAGTGCTTAACCACTGCACCACCAGGGCTCCTTATTGCAAAGGGTATGGTTATATAACCCTAATATAGGGAACAGTAATCCATTTTACCACCAGAGACATATGGAATCAACCATCAGTGAAATTTCTGGAAATACCCTAACAAGTTTATACAGTGTATAGAACAGGGCACTCAATTAAATGATCAATAAGTTCAAAATAGATAAAATGTTATATTTAGAATTAAATTGTATTTAATAAGCTCAGTAGTGTATACCAGTTATGACCACTCTTATTTAGACATTTGGCCAGGTTAATACTGAAAGGTAAGACTAGAATTTCAGTTATTAAAAACCATGATTAAAGTTGAATAATAATGCTTCCGATCATAAGAGTCCAGCCAAATTCAGTAATGCTACCTCTGTGAATGTGACTTAGACTGCTTAGCCAACCTGCTTACCCTTTTATCTTCTTCATTCTCATCTTATTTTCATACTTTTCTTTCCTTCTTTTTATCTCCTCTAAATGCTCTCCCCACTGTTTTTCTCTGTCCCTGATTTTCTGGCCCCAGCCTCCTTCCCAGTGTTTCTGGAACTGTTGAGTATTGAACCAGCTGAGGAGGCCAAGTTGTGGTGGTCAGGGCTTAGGGCAGGAGGGACCTGGGCCCGTCTGTGCTCCAAGCCATCACTATTTTGCTCTGGCTTTTTCCTAGGAATGAGAAGGGAAGACTGTTTTCTTAATCCTGTGAGTAAATGAATCTGGAAAAGAACTTTAATCCCTGCTTCTCACAATATGCCACTGCAAAGATTGGTCGTATCAGATAGCTTCCTATCCAGTCGAGTGCTCCTAGTTTTGTTTTTAATGGCTTTTGTTTGTTTTTCATTGTTAATACACAAAGGAAAACCAGACAGAGAATGGAAGGACCCATTCTTATATCCTTATCAACTCTTCCTTTTCCTCCTTGTTTTTGACTCAGCAAAATTGAAAAAGGTACAAAATTTAGAAAACAAAATAGTATCTATGGATAAATAATAAAATTAAAATTTTTTCAATTTATTCATAAGAATTAAAAAAATTTAAAAAATTTAAATATAGAAAACCCAATTAAAATAAAAACAGAAAACATAGATCAGAAACCAGCATTTCCAAACTTTTCTGTTGATAAAATCATCTGGAGAACTTATAAAAATGCACATTCATTCCTGGTCCCACCTCCAGGTATTCTCAGTAGGTATGAGTTGGGGAATTAGGAGTCTGCATTTTAAAAAGCAGCCCAGGGGATTCTGGTGCGAGTGGTCTGAGCACCATGTTTGAGAATCGCCTCTTTTATTCATAACAAGTGTATGAGTTTCCTTCTGCTGCTGTAACAAATTACCACCAACTTGGTAGCTTAAAACAACACACATTTATCTCATGGTTATAGAGGTCAGAAGTCCAAAATGTGTCTCACTGGGCTAACATCATGGTCTTAGCAGAGCTAGTTTCTCATGGAGGCTCAGAGAGGAGAATGTTTCCTTGCCTTCTTCAGCTTCTTTGTTGTTATTAGGTGCTGACGAGTCGGTTCCGACTCATAGTGACCCTGTGTACAACAGAATGAAACCCTGCCCGGTCCTGCACCATCCTCACAATCGTTATGCTTGAGCCCATTGTTGCAGCCAGTGTGTCAGTTCATCTGGTTGTGGGTCGTCCTCTTTCACTGACCCTCTACCAAGCATGGTGTCCTTCTCCAGGGACTGGTCCCTCCTGATAACGTGTCCAAAGTACTTAAGATGAAGTCTCACCATCTTTGCTTCTAAGGAGCATTCTGGCTGTACTTCTTCCAAGACAGATTTGTTCGTTCTTTTGGCAGTCCATGGTATATTCAGTATTCTTCGTCAACACCATAATTCAAAGGTGTCAGTTCTTCTTCGGTCTTCCTTATTTATTGTCCAGCTTTTGCATGCGTATGAGGTGATCAAAAACACATGGCTTGGGTCAGGTGTGCCTTAGTCTTCAACGTGACATCTTTGCTTTTTAACACTTTAAAGAGGTCTTTTGCAGCAAGTTTGCCCCATGCAACGTGTCATTTGATTTCCTGACTGCTGCTTCCATGGGTGTTGATAGTGAATCCAAGTAAAATGAAATCCTTGACAACCTCAGTCTTTTCTCTGTTATCATGATGTTGCTTGTTGATCCAGTTGTGAGGATTTTTGTTTTCTTTATGTTGAGGTGTAATCCATACTGAAGGCTGTAGTCTTTGATCTTCATCAGCTTCTCTAGGCCACCTGTATTCTGTGGTTCATGGCGTTTTGCTCCTATCACCCCAACCTCTTGCTTCTGTCATCACAATTCCTACTGCTGACTCTGATCCTCCTGCCTCCCTCTTACAAGGATACTTGTAATTACACTTAGGGCCCACCCTATCCAGTGTATCCACCTAGATAATCTTGGATAACCAGATAACCTCTCCATCTCAAGATCCTTAGCCTAATCATATCAGCAAAGTTCCTTTTACCATGTCAAGTAACATATTCACAGGTTCCAGGGATTGGGACTTGGACACCCTGGCAGGGAGGGGCAGGCTTCATTATTCTGCCTACCACAACACGATAACAGAATTTTAGAACATTAGCAAACCTCTCTATTTCAGTTTCTAGATAAGGGAAGTGAGCCCTAGAGAAGAGAAATGACTTGATTAAGGTCACATAGCATTGTTGGTTACAAACTAGAGTAGAATTCAGCATCCCTCCTCCTCCAAGACTCCTGCCCAGTTCAGGCATGGCTTTTGTGCTAGGTAGGAAGCAGTTAGAGGTGTATATAGATGCCAACCAGAGGTCTATACAGATGTCAGTAAAATGACAACTTCTTGAGGACAGTGAGAGGAAGAGATAGTTCCTTCACCAATGAGAGTTGGTTTCCAGGAAGAGGTAGAAATAAATTAAGAAGAGTGTCCAGTTAGACAGTACCTGGCTTATTTGTAACATTTTTCCAGAAGAGTTATTTAGCACTTTCCCTTAGATTCATGCTCTTAAACTCCCATGTGCTGTGGTCCATGTATTCCAGCAACCATTCTCGGAACTCCTAAGAGATCTCCTGACAGTCTTTCTTTTTCGTTCTGGTTCTGTTTTCCCAGAGGGTGAAGAGGAGGGAAGGTAAGAGGCCACGTGTTCCTGGCTCCCAGACTGGGATGAGTCAGGACGGGGGCACTCTCAGCTGCCACCCAGCCCTCCTGGGATGGTCATTTTGGCCAAGAGACTCACAGGATCGATGATATTTACATTGCAGATGGTTAGACGACGTTTAGAAAAATGTCACATTGTCTGGAAATAACTACAAGAAGGGTCTCCCTCCTGAAAAAATATAACTGTGCTTTGTAAAATCTATAAACTCTGTGTGTTTATTTTGATAGAATGATATGCTGAGTCTTTTAAGTTGGTACGACATTAAATTATTCATGTTATTTTTCTATCAGATGTTTTGTGGTTTATTGATAATGTCTAAATTTCAGTGCTGGTGACAGCTCATTCTACAACACTAATTGAAAGTGTTGGCATTTCCTCAATTAGACAGTGGTTAAGTACATCATGGAGAAAGGTTTGTGACAGAGTCGCGTTCAAGCTCCAGGAGAACAAGGTGAGAATGTTGCCAGCCACCCGCTCCAACTAGGTGGAAGTGAAGTGATGGCTTTGGAGGTTGTTTATTGCATCTCGCTAATAACCAGCCAATCTCCGGTGTCTTCAGGGAATTAGCATTGGAAGGCTGTGCATGATGCAAACCTAAAACCCCCAAATAATAGCGCCAAACATCAAAGCTTTCAAGACATAAGCTGAATACACCTCAAGATTATTCTCTCTAGCAGCACGTCGTTTACAGGAACTTTTGCCAAGGTGAAGTGTGTGTCCTTTAATGATTTAAAACTTAAGGAGTAATTTCCCTTTCTCGTTTAAAAAATTATCTAGGTGGCCAAAGAACATCACTGTCTGGCAATACAGAGGAAATGCCTGCTGGCCTGGTTCTGGTGCAGTCAGGACAGCCTGGCTAGAAAGGCAGCCTGGGCAGATCGGCTTTATTCCCAGATCCTGCAGAGGAGAGCCATCAGGAGCTGGCTGCAGGTAGGGCCACTGGGAAGGGCCATAAATACACTGCTCAGTCCGGTATGGAGAACTAGACGGATTCCAAGACGCCCGTGGTCACCAGGTTTCTTTCAAGAACAGTACAGTCAATCCAGTTTGTGGCTTTGAAATGAATTTGAAAACATCAAACTAATATTTTGTTAATATAAAATCTTATACAACTGTTTCTTTTCACAGAGTGTTCATCTGTATACTGCAATGTATCCTACCCGCTTTGTTTTTACACTCCTTTCTAGTTTCTGGTCCCACTGCGCTCCAGTGATTTCACTAGTAACCATCTCCCATGGTCCTGTAACTGTTCCCACCCTCTGGTCCTGTTATTATTTTTTTAGTACATCACAGAGCATATTATCTTGGCACCCATGTTATCATTTTTCTCCTTATGCCTCTATTTTCTTCATTTTGTTTGTTTCAATTCTCTCTCTTTTGCACTGCTAATTTGCTCTAATTCTCTATCTACTAATATTGTTTTCTCACTTCTATTCCTGTCTTCACTCCCCAGTACCTGACTGATCTAGAGGAAGAAGTAAGAAAACTTTATGTACATTTTCTCCAGAAGAAGATTTTCAGGGCCTGGCTTACTGTGGTCAGGGAGGCCAAGATTGCTTCTCAGAGCAAGTACAAGACTGTGGCGGAGCATAGTGACAGGTCAGTGTTTGGTCATTAAGGAAATCCACTCACTGACTTCACAATTACTCTGCAGTACTTTCTGCAGCGGGAATGTACCTGAACAGACCACGTGGAGGCTGAGAGCAGGACACTCAGAGCTGACGACTCTGTGAAATTATATGAATTATTGTTTGCACGTTTATGGCCTGTCCCTCCTGACAGAGTGGAAGCACCGTGTCTTACGCACCACTGCACTCAGTCCATGGCGGTGCCAGTGCACAGGTGCACAGTAAATGTTCGGTGAATGACGGAGTGAATGAATGAATTTAAGTGCAGGACTGACACTAATATGTAAAGTCACAGGTCTTTTACAAGGAGCTTTAACATTAAATAATTGACAGAGTTCTTACTCAGTTTGATGTGAATGAAAGAGTATTATATAGAAAAGCTGTGGGTGAAAGGGAGCGAAGGAGAGACATCTGTGGGCCTTAGTCCTGATCTTTACATTGCCATAACTGAGAGAGATGATTCCTAATAAGAACATGAAGTTTAATTTTACCTGTTGGTATCGCTTTTGGTAATGCTGCACCCCTGGCATTTACGGAAGAGGTTCCCTGCCTTCGTCTCTTCCTGCCAGCAGTCATTTTGCAGTTCTGCAGTCAGAGCTCAGCTACACACTCATCCCGTTCTTCTCAGCTGAACCAATTCCACACAAACTTGATTAGTAGAAAACATCTATGAAAGTTAAGAAAGATGGTGTCTTTTTTCTAATACTGCCTTGGCACTGTGGTTCTTAACCATTCTGCAGTCATAGACCTCTCTGAGATAGTACTGAAAGCTACAGAGCTGCATCCCAGAAAGTGCACATATGAAAATGACGTACAGTTTTACACAACATTCCAAGGAGTTTGTGGACCCTAGGTTAAGAACCCCTACATTTGTGGCTTAAATCACACTTTTTACAAGTAGATCCACATATAATTTATCAAGACATATTTGTGAAACATAAAAAATACTTAATTAACATGGCCTCTGGCTCCCATAATTTAGTAGAAAATATAACTGATTATAGAGAGGTGGATAGGTACAAACATACGTGCTTGCACACATACACAGATACAGAGGCAGGGAGGGGAGAGAGAGAACTGGCTGTAAATAAGTTCCAAACCGGTGACACTGACCATGTGTTTTCACAGCTCAGAGGAAGGAAAGGTAAATGCAGGCAAGGCTGATCTAGGAAGACTTTTCCAAGGAGGCAAAGCATGTCAGTTAGGGTAGCACCAAACCTACTGCCATCAAGTCAATTCTGACTCATAGTGACCCTGTGGGACAAAGTAAAACTGCCCCATAGGGTTTCCAAGGCTGTAGTCTTTATGAAAGCAGACTGCCACATCTTTCTCCCGCAGAGTGGCTGGTGAGTTCAAACTGCTGACCTCTCAATTAGCAGCCAAGTGCTTTAACCACTGCACCATCAGGGCACCATTAGGGTAGAACAGTGGGAGTTGAAATGTGGTGTCAGGAGACAGAGCTTTAGCCAGGAGAGATGTGACCAGCAGGTAGAGAGGGAGACAGGGTCAAGGATGAGGAGTGGGCCATGTGGCCGAGAGCAGGAAGCGGTCAGTGGATGAAGCTGTCAGTGGTGGACTGGATGGATGAGAGAGAGAAACAAACGAGGTAGCTCCACTTCTTAGAGCCTTTTTTTTTTTAAACTTCACAGGAATACTTCCATCCACAAAAATCAACATTATCAAAAACACCAAACACTCAAATGCCATAAAATTAATGAGGATTGAGATGCACTGCAGGGCTTCTTTAGATGGTCACGATGCCCAGAACAGATCTCATCTAAGCCTCTAGTTGTGAAAGTATGAAGGTAGCTACTCCGCACTTTTGTTTTCAACAACACAGCTTGGCTTGTCATTCCTTACACACGTTATGCTAGTCTTGCTTCTTCTCCACTTAAAACACGCCCTCTTCAGGAGGTCTGGGTAACATGCTTTCAGGGGACATCTAGGTCAATTGGCATAGCAAAGTTTTTTAAGAAAATGTTCTGCATTTTACTTGGTTGAGTGGCATCTGCGGTCTGAAAAGTTAGCAAGTGGCCATGTAAGATGTATCAGTTGGTCCCAACCCACCTGGAGTAAAGGAGAATGAAGAACACCAAAGTCGCAAGAGAAGCATTAGCCCAAGAGACAAAAGGGCCACATAGACCGAAGACTGCATCAGCCTGAGACCAGAAGAACTAAATGGCGCCTGGCTACTACCAATGACCGCCCTGACAGGGAACACAGCAGAGAGTCCCTGATGGAGCAGGAGAAAAGTGGGGTGCAGAACTCAAATTCTAGTAAAAAGTCCAGACTCAGTGGTCTGAGACTGGAGGAACCCCAGAAGGCATGGCCCCCAGACTGTCAACCCAGCACTAAAACTATTCCCAAGGCCCTCTTCAGACAGGGATTGGACTGGACTATGGAATATAAAATGATACTCATGAAGAGTGTGCTTCTTAGCTAAAGTAGATGCATGAGACTAAATGGGCAGCTCCTGTCTGGAGGTTAGATGAGAAAGCAGAGAGGGTCAGGAGCTGGTTGAATGGACACGGGATATCGGGTAGAAAGGAGGAATGTGCTGTCACAGTATAGGGAGAGCAATTAGGGTCACATAACAGTGTATCTATAAATTTTTGCATGAGAGACTGACTTGAATTGTAAACTTTCACTTAAAGTACAATAAAATAAAAACAAAAACGTGCCGTTTTCTAGGAAAGTGTTTTCTTTGCCTGGCAAAAATTCAGCTCAGATACTCGTTCTTCCCAAATCTTCTGACACACCTCACCATCAACTTGGCAGTACCCTGTGATTATCCCCCTCACTGTGCTGTCCCCACTGTATTGAAATTATCTGTTGGCCACTTCACCTTCCACCAAGCAGACTGTCTTCTTATCTTTTATGTCCCTAGTGCTCAGCTGTCATTAACCAAAAACCAAACCCACTGCCGTCAAGTCAATTCCAACTCATAGTGACCCTATAGGACAGAGTGGAACCGCCCCATAGGGTTTCCAAGGAGTAGCTGGTGGATTCGAACTGCCAACCTTTTGTTTAGCAGCCTGAGCTCTTAACCACTGCGCCACCAGGCACTAAATCCCGTAGCAGTGCTATCCTAAAAGGCCACTGCACGCCTCCCTATGGCAGTAGAGATTCTCACTTTCAACATGTGACCCTACATGACCATGTTTCCATAACTGGATACTAGGGTATTTTTTTCTCAACTGAAATTCAAGACTTCTTATTTGGTTGATGAGGTTACCAACAGGCTTTTAAAACAATCTACTTCTAAGCACCCAGATCTCGACGCTGTAACTGCACATGTGCGTGGGATTGTCCAGCGTTTTTGCCGTGGGGGCTTTGGCTGCTGAGCCCTGGCTGGTGTTGCCATTCCTGGCCTCCACCTATCGTACAGGCTGTGATCAGACAGCTGAGGGGGAGTCAGAGGCCGCCGGGTGCTCTGTTCAGATGTCACCTCCTCAGAGGTTTCCCTGACTGCCCGACTGAAAACAGCCTGCCAGTCACTCAACCCTTTTGTTGCTTTATTTTCTTCATAGAACTTCTGTCTGAATCCCAACTGTGATTTCCACACGATTTATATAACATTCGCATAATTATTATAAAATTTATAATGTGCTTCAGATAGAAAGTCAACTTTTTCCTTAGTATTTTTTTCTCTTATTTTTAAAGGAGAATTTTCAGGACCACGTTCCAGACATGGAAGCAGTCTGCAAGATGTATGAAAGAGGAGAGATTGAAAGAAGAAAGGAGAGCGCAGCTCCGTAGGAAAGTGGCTGAAATCCTCCCAGATTTCCAGACGCTGGCCCCACCATGACTGTTAGCTGTACTCGTTATCTGACACTCAGCCCTCGTATAAGATAAGCCAGTGACCACGAACCAGTGCAGTCCTGGGGAGGGGAGTCACAATTGGTCCATAATGCGTGTTTGTGTTATCGCCACTCACCCACCTACATAATACATATAGCTGGTTTGTTTTCTGTCACCTACTTATTGGATCAACTGAGTTATTTTAGAAGTCTGTATTTCCTTCTTGGATTTCTGCTGGATTGCTAATCAGGAGTTCACTAAAGCATTTATCATAATGGTGTCACTGCAAAGGAACAGTCTAGGTCTCCACTGTTCAGGTGCATCCTGTTTGTTCTTAGCATAATAAACTTTAAAAGTGTTAGCCGGCCTGAGGCTGTGAGGGAAAGTATTTGCCCTTCTAGGTTAACGTGAGCTGTTGATTAATGTACCTTTAATTAAATACAAATGAAATAAATACTTAGAAAAGGAGGCAGAGGAGGTCAGTCTTCTAGTACCTAAGCATCAGAGACAGGCATCCTACCAGATGCCATCCTCTTTGGCCACCAGCGATGGAAAACTTTCTAAAGGTACGCTGAATGGCTGCTGCAAAGAGTAGCAGCTTATCCTAATGTTAGAGAAACTGGACACCAAAGATACTTGAGTGCACCTTGCTAAGCATGAGATACTCTTCCAAAAGAAAATGACTATCTGTGCATGCTCCTGATTGCAGTTTCTACACAATACACTCAACTGTCTTCTAGTCCTCACCTCAGATCTAGATACGTTATCATCAATTCAAAGATGTTTTGATCTTTAAGGTGCTATGAGGTATGAAAGACTGATAAAAGGCTCCCTTCTGTGAACTTGAGTATCACCTGCTAGAAAAAAATTCGTAACAAAATACATGTTTATTCCAACAAATTCTAGTCATCCAGTAATGCAGTCAAGTAAATGCACACAGTGAAATGAGAAAGGCCCTTCCAGCCCCGAGGGAAATGTTATCATCTGGTGTTTTGAAAACTGGAGTTGGTGAAATAAATTCCTGTGGTCGTTCAAGGGAATATTCCTGTATTTACTCCTAGAAGGGATGTCTAGCTACACCACCTGCAAAATGACTTACCTCGTTTTTTCTGGGGAAGATGTGTGATTTACTCAGATATGACAGAACACCCAAAACTGAATTTTACTTCTATATTCTCTGTCCCTACACATCTTTTCCTCTAATGATTATACAACTGTCATCTAAAAACTCAATTTTTTTTCTTCTTAAGACTAAAGGACACTAAATGGGACTAAAATTCATACTTATCACTTTTTACATCTAAATCAGTATCATCTGTTTATCTACAGCACAGCTACAGAGTATTGGCTGATACTAGCACCCAGAAATCAAATACCAATTTTACTTTAATGTCAAGCCTGCAGATAAAGAGTATTGAACCCCTTATATAAACACGCCAGGGGCCTAAAAGAAATTCCTTAATGCTTCAGTTTTCTCTTAAGCTTTCTATTATTTATTTTTACCTCATCTCAAGCATCAACTAGAAATTGAGTCTTAGGCCATATTCTGATTGGGCCAGCTAGATCTTTTTACCGACTTTCTGAAACTTCTGAAGAGACATAAGGAAAATAATTTTGCTGCTGTTTCTTGACTATCATCTTAAAGATATGATTTGAAATGTTACTGCTAACATAATGCCCAGGTAAGCAGCATCCCTGACCTACATAACTGGAAAAAATGACCACTAGGAAGATGCTTGTTGAGGGCCAGGGACAAGGCTGGGTAGAAAGAGGCACCACAGCTATAAAACAGGGTTTCTCTTTTAAAAAAAAAAAAAAAAGTTGAGTAGACACATACCAAGAAATACGATTTTCCTTTAAAGAAAGCACTTTATTTTCCATTTAAACAACTTGTTCACAGTACATTATTTGACATAAATGGCAGTAATTTTTTAAATCTCCATTTAAAAGGCCTTGTGTCTGAGTCTGAGGTGATTAAGAAGACATGAATACAAGTATAAAAACAGTGCAATGTGTTTGTTTAGCACACAGCCTCCAAAGTTGGCTTTGGAAATCCCCTTTAGTGTTACTGGGCCAGTTACATTAGATATTAAATACTGATTTAATATTAAATAAATATTCCTAGGTTTCCTTTTGTCTAACATCAGACCCTGAAGTGTGATCAAATGAGAAGGCTCAAAAGCCCTCTAACAACACAAGTCATCTAGACGACAGGATCACAGTGCGTTGAGCTTGCGAGCTCCATAATACGGCATCTTTCCAGTAGCTCCATCGGAAGAAATAGTTTTAGTTGCGTCCATAACTAGAATAGACTCTCATTTTAAAAGCTTTGCCTTGAAAGTACAAACTTTCTAGAGGTGAAAAGTGCCACAGGGAAGGCTAGAGTAAGTCACAAGCCCAACTCAGAGATAGCTACAACCTCTAAGAAATTTGTCTCCATTAACCATCCAGTCTTTGGCCTGTTGCTGATAGGCCTTTTGGCCTGTTGCCAACTGAAGTGTGGCTAATTGTCCATTAGCAACAGGATTAAATTTAGCTGATTTTGCAAAAAGTTTGTGCTAATCACAACAAACATCCCGTGGAACATACTGAATTTTACTCAGCACTGAGTTAAGCGTGGCTGTCATTATCCCTGCGTCCCTCTGCAATGTCTAACACAAGATGTCAGACTTGTCTAGCTGCTCATGAGAAAACCAGATTCCAAACAGGTGTCTGACCTGAAGGTCTCTATAATCCACTGCTTGTTTGAGGAAATGCTCATTTTCAAATTTCAGGGTACCAAAATATGGCTGAAATGAGGTAAGTCCATATATACGTTAGAAAAAAAAAACCTCACTGCCATTGAGTCAACTGCAACTCATGGCAACCCCCTGTGTTACAGAGTAGAACTGCTCCAAGTCCATATAAACTTACCTACTTCACAGGGACCTTTGACCTCACAAAACCATTTTTAAACATCTGGCCAAAACTGTGCTTCTAGATGTCTTTATTTTTGTTTATGATAGTTGAGCTTTATAATAAAAAGCCACTACACTACCCAAAAGAAATACAGTCTGTTAAGCAGTGTTCCGGGTGATGTAGAACCTTACTGGCATTGTGTTTTCTGGCAGTGGAAGATTCTGGTACAGAAAATTATCTCTTGCTAAAAGCATCAGAAGTACCAAGGATTACTGGCATGAGAGAAAGTTTATAGCAATCTTTCTGCTAGGTACATGGTACAGTGGAAGATAACAATTACTTCATTCACCCAAGAAAGACACTACTTGTACAGCAAAGACTTACAATATCCTAAACACAAACACGCGTGTGGCTGAGGTGAAATAAGCAGCACACTCTCCCTAGAACACGCTTAAGGCTTTACTTCAGCAGTGTGGGAAACCTACCGAAGAGGCGTTGTCAATGGTCACTTCACTTTAGGTGTGCCCGGCTATCACCACAAAGTACTGTGTATAATAACACACACGTAAATATTGCAGGATTTCCTCCTTTCATGCAATCCTGATCTTAACTGAGTCTTTCAAATGGACCCATTTCTACCCCAGAAATAGGAGGCGGTGGCATGACAGGAATGTGAGTGGTAGGTAAACAAAGCTGAGGATGTGGGGTGAGGTGAGGGGACCTGCTTGTCTAGAACCACGTTCAGAGACTCGTTCCTGGGGCCAAGGGACTGCTGGTTCGTAGGTTCACAGGGTGATCCCCTTACCCAGAGCTGCCCCTTCACAGAGGCCTTGTCCTTCAAAGGGTGCACAATAAGTTCTCCTGCCTTCTGGAAAGAGCCAAGGCCAGTAACAAAATCCCTCAGGTAGTCCCAGATCATAAAAGGGCTCAAAGTCTACCATTAGAGACCAAGGATGTCCCACAGCCTATAAAACACCACTCATGGATAGCCTATCTGCTGTTCCTTCGGGGACACACACTTCAATAGGCTTTTAAAATAGAGTTAGCTTTCTTCTATGAATTGGCAACCGTGGAGTTTTCAAGGAACTTAAAGCAAGCATCTTAATTCCCATAAGCCAGGATGATATACAAGGAGTCCCTATGCAAGCGAGGGAAACCGAGTTACCCCATCCAGGTAACCCTATCAAAGGTGTGTTGGTTAAGAAGATGATGATCATCCCCAATTCTCTTGTTAAACATTTGGCAAGAGGTTTAAATTACTAACTATACTAAGGTTTCCAAGGATTTTTATCATCAGTTGCCAAAGAATCAAGAGTTGGCTCTACATCTGGCACTCAAGATACGCAACAACTACAATCCTAGCCACATATGCTGCCCCTGGATGTTATTACTCTCCTGCCTAAAACCTACAAGAAAGGAATTAGTCATATCACATCCAACTTTAATTCCAAATGAATTATTAGACTCTGGGCCAGGGAGAGGGCATCACTGTAGAAACCACAGCCTCTGCTGACATCCCCACACTCGCCCTTTGGCGCATGGGATGCAGAGCAGAAAGTTTATTACTCAGTACATCTCTGGGGAAAACGACGCCAGGCGGCTCCCAAGCCTGAGTGAATCGTGACTGTCTTAGGGACTGCCCGATTAATGGCAAGTCTAGGAACGGTGCTAGCTGCAGAGAGCAGGATTGCGGGAAGTAGCAGTATTTCCTGCCAACATTTATAAATCTCTTGCTAAAGCAGCATGCGCAGAAAGACAGAAAATGCTGGCAATATTTCCCTCTACTAAGCTACAGGAAGCCCTGGTGGCACAGTGGTTAAGCACCCAGCTGCTAACTGATAGGTCGGTAGTTCGAACCCACCAACCACTCTGTGGGAGAAAGATGTGGCAATATAAACCAAGGCAAATTGAAGGACTCGTGAATTATCTTTGGAGATGCAAAAACAGGCACATACAAATACAACATTTCAGGGGGTATTTCCTCCTCCCAAACTCTCTCGTCTTAACTCTAGATCAGAATGACCCATTCTATATAAATATTTAACCCCTTACACATTTTCAATTTTGAGACATGATTAAAGAAACAGCTTATTTTGGGAACAGCTATCAAAGAACAGCAATCCGTCAATGAGTGGAAACCATCCGTACCGTTTTTTCTCTCCTAGTGAGAGCCTTTCCTTTAGAGGAACTGAAAGGGAAAGGTGAATGAGAAGTCACGTGCAAGTGAAGTGGAAAGACGCCAATCAACTCCCAAGAGCAAGTTCATGCCAGTATAACGCGATCGCCAGAAGACTGCTTTGTGCAATTTAGTGCTATAACTGAGAGCATTTTAAATACTTACATGAACAAAATCAAGCCCTTGATACTGATCAGCCACCCTACCCAGGAAAAAGAGTAAAGTGTTTCCCATAGGAATGTCCATTCGCCTCTTCAGCCATCATCAGAAGACTGTTAGCACCTTACCAGGTGAAACATGGAAAAGAGGAAAGAAAACATTAATGCTTATCGAAGTTAAATCAAAACAGTAAATATGTGAGAAGGAAGATAAGGTAAATACCTACTATCACCTTAACTCATGACCACTGTACAATAGACAATAATTATCGTTATCAACTGTCCTCTCAAGATCAGGTGAATTGTGTCATAAATCTATCTGGTCTAACTGTACAATGTGGTACAACACAGAGCCTTTTCACTGAAATGCTGGAAACCAATACCCTAATATGGGCTTCAATATTCTGACCTACAAACGTTTTCTTCAGTCTTAGGACTTTCCTAATATTCACCCCTCTGGTGCTTCAGTCACTCTCGAGTGTGTTCCACACACCTCATCCCTTGCGTGACCCTCGCAACCACACTGAGGTGGCCGAGGAAGGCGGCAGTACCCCACTTTACAGATGAACCTGAGACCCGGGGAAGTGACTTGACTAAAGGTCACATGGCTATTAAGAATTGAAAGAGAGACTAGAAGGCTATTAAGAATTGAAAGAGAGACTAGAAACTACCCTAATCCAAAGCTCTTTCTCTCATACTAATGGATGGGAATTGCTTCTATCAATTTGTGCATTCACAATCCACGTCCTTTTCAACTTCTGGTGACTGAGTTAATAAGGTGACTGGAAAAGAATGGCTCTACTTTACTGCTTCGATATAAAAATCTCTTAAGTCACGAAGTCAGGAACATTAACTTCTTCCCAGTCCAGCCTCTAAACCTGAGCATGGCCCTCTAAAGCCTTTGGGGGTGAAAACGAGCATCCAGCGTAGACGTGGAAGTGTAAAATGGAAGAGAGACAGGGTGCAGCCGTCCCTCAGAGCCGTACAGAAGGCACTTCAGACAATGTCCTCAGCAGGGTGGTGGGTGGCCTGGGTTCCCAGGGTGCAGAACTGGTACCAGTTCTGCAGGAGGCCCCGGCTGTACTGGCCTGTGTCCACGATGAGGCCACAGAGGAACCGGCGCCCGGTCTTTTGTCGGAGGGCCTGTTGGACTTCCCGCTCGGTCACATTGTAGCTGATGTTTATCAGCTGGATCAGGAAGATGTAGGCCATGCCCGCTGTGATGATCACAGAGTACCACACACAGGTGAAGGATAGAGCCAAGCTGGGAGGAGGAAAGGCCGGTCAGGACTGCGCTCTGTCACATTCAGAAAGCTGCCACCATCCCAGCATTCTACACACCTAGTACTTAGTGTTAAGGACTCTGATGCCGTGCCCAATCTTCCCAACCGTAAGACACTTTCCTACCCTCTGAACGTCCATAACCCGCTTGACTTCTGACAGTTTATGTGTCTTTTTGGGGGAGGGGGGGAGTGGAGGAGAACTGATTTTTTTTTTTTTAATTTTATTGTGCTTTAGGTGAACATTTACAGAGCAAATTAGTTTCTCATTCAAAAATTTATACACAAATTGTTTTGTGACATAGGTCGCAATCCCTGCATTGTGTCAGCACTCTCCCCCTTTCCACTCTGGGTTCCCTGTGTGCATTTGTCCAGTTTTCCTGTCCCTTCCTGTCTTCTCATCTTTGTTTTTGGGCACGTGTTGCCCATCTGATCTCATGTACTTGGCTGAACTAAGAAGCACGCTCCTCACATGTGTTACTGTTTTAGAGGCCTGTCTAATTTTTGGCTGAAAGGTGAACTTTGAGAGTGGCTTCAGTTCTGAGTTCGCAGGGTGTCCAGGGGCCATACTTTCAGGGTATCTATTTTTTAATAACTATTAGTGCCTCTTTTTCTATTATGTTTTACTAGAATAGCAAGGACTTTTTTTTTTTTTTTTTCATTTTGTAGCCTTCACACAACTATCACAGAGCCTGACCAGCACTCAATATCTGTTGGTTAAGTGAATAATTCCTAAGTCATACCTAACTCATGAGAAAACTAAGGCACCATGAGATTTCAATAAACTTCCTCAAGGAAGCTGGGAGGGCGGGGGGAAGAAGACTAGTAACAAAATTATTAATCTCCACTCTTTTCAGTCCAAAGCAGATAAACACAAATAAGACAACTGCCAACACTGAAGCCCTTTAGTTACTTATAAGATATGCAGGAGCACCAGTGTTCAAACGTCAGCTTCCCAAGTCCACACAGCATACCACACGTCAGCTTCCCAAGGCCACAAAGAATATCTCACATCAGCTTCCCAAGTCCACACAGAATACCACACGTCAGCTTCCCAAGGCCACACACAATACCACACATCAGCTTCCCAAAGCCACAAAGAATACCTCACGCCAGCTTCCCAAGTCCACACAGAATACCACACATCAGCTTCCCAAGGCCACACAGAATACCACACGTCAACTTCCCAAGGCCACACACAATACCACAGGTCAGCTTCCCAAGTCCACACAGAATACAAGTCAGCTTCTCAAGTCCACACAGAATACCTCACGTCAGCTTCCCAAGTCCACACACGATACCACACATCAGCTTCCCAAGGCCACAAAGAATACCTGATGTCAGCTTCCCAAGTCCACTCAAAATACCACACGTCAGCTTCCCAAGTCACACAGAATACCACACGTCAGCTTCCCAAGGCCACACACAATACCACAGGTCAGCTTCCCAAGTCCACACAGAATACAAGTCAGCTTCCCAAGTCCACACACAATACCTCACGTCAGCTTCCCAAGGCCACACAGAATACCACACGTCAGCTTCCCAAGTCCACGCAGAATACAACACATCAGCTTCCCAAGGCCACAAAGAATACCTCATGTCAGCTTCCCAAGGCCACACAGAATATCACACGTCAGCTTCCCAAGGCCACAGAGAATACCACAGGTCAGCTTCCCAAGGCCACACAGAATACCACACGTCAGCTTCTCAAGTCCACACAGAATACCACACGTCAGCTTCCCAAGGCCACATGGGATACCACAGGCCAAGAAGGCTCCCGGGAGACTGTAGGGAGGGGCTGCCCATTAGTGTGTGCCACTGGACTTTTTCCATTCAAACATCCGCAAACAAAGAGTTAGCTGGAAAGAGATCCATTCAGAATCTTCATTTTCAAAGCCGAAAGGGACCACAGGTGATGAAATCAATTCACACGCCACAAGGCCCAGAGGTGAGGTGAACTGCTTGTACAGAGCGGGGTGAGAACCCCTGACAGCACTGTGCTCCTCACTTCATTTCAGTCGCCCACAGAACGTCTACAAACCCTGCTTAGTAACATACACACAGGCTCTACTTTAGGACACTTATCCCTCACGGTGCTACTGAAGAACTTCACAACCTACTAGGACTCTCAACGATTTAAAAAAAAGAAACTTATTCTGAAGAGAACCAGTCTATTCTAATAATACCCACAAGTCTCTAGATCTCCAGTGATGATGGGGAGATGTATCCATGGACTAATAACACCAAATGCCTGCATAAGGGTACTATGCTGATGAAGCAGGGATTGTTCTGAAAATAAAGACTAAGAAGAAAAGGAAGGCACCCTGCTGGCAGAGCTGCCCCAGCTGAGCCTGAGAACCAGAGAGCAGAGAGCACCCATGTCAGGAAGATGGTGGAGGCACCATAACAAGGAACACGGGCAGGGGGTGCCCATGGTGTTCAGGGCAGGGGGTGGCTGGGGCCAAAGCTGAAAAACCCCAGCTTTTGCCATAGCGTGAAATTTTCACAATATCTAAATGTGTCCCAACTAACAATGCCTAAGGAAACTTTGACCTAGATACCACCGTAATTGTGAGTGATGATTTTAAAAAAAAGTAGCACAAAAAAAACCAATAGAGATTAGAAAGAAAAGAAAGGTTATAGATCGTGAGCAATTCTCAAAAGAGTCAGAAGCAGTGAATTAAGATTAGGCTAAAAAGTACCAGAAAGCGTCAATAAAGTGAGAGGAATTCCCTGACCTTTATGACAAAGTAAAGAATCACATACATGCCCTGCGGTCCCCAGTTCATTCACTGTTTTGGTTTCACTGTTGCACGTAGGCATGCAAGCGGCCATCTGACTCTGGAAGTCTCTGATTAAGTCTCCTCCTACCTGTGGAGTGTGGGTTCCTCACTTTTTAAGAGCCAAGGACCTTGTGACATCACCCTAGAAAAACACACGTCCACTACACGATTCTGTTGGCAATTTCAGGGGATACCCAGCATCCCCATAACTTGCCCTATGTTTTGGGTTTAGAACTCTTAACCTAGGAGCAAATACTACAGTAACTACAGTAAGTCCTGGGTTAAGAATGTCCAACTTATGGACAACCTCTTGTACTCGCCCTTTAATATTATGTAAATTGACCCTCACTTTGAAACGACTGGACTGAACCAACCCCTACTCATAACAAACTCTTCATCACAATCACCTTCACTTGCTGCACGTGCAGCTTTTACATCAGCGAAAACTTAAGAGCCTTCTCTTGCACTAAACCCAAACCCACTGCTGTTGAGTCGATTCTGACTCACAGTGACCCTACAGGACAGAGTAGAACTGCCCCATTAGGGTTTCCAAGGCTGTGTATCTTTACAGAAGTAGACTACCGTATCTTTCTCCCACAGAGCAGCTGGTGGGTTTGAACCACTGACCTTCTGGTTAGAAGCTGAGCACTTAACCACTGCACCACCAGAGCTCCTTTTTTCTTGCACTCAAGTAAGGCTAAATAAGAAGTGTATGCACCTGTTCAACTCACCTACAAATCTGACTTAAAGACACACTTAGGAATGGATCTCATTCGTAAGCTGGGGCCCGCCTGCAGTCCCTATTAATGGCAACATTCATTCCTGTTTCCACGGGCTTCTCTACTGCGGTGTGTATGTCTCACCTGTAGTCTGCGTACACTCCAGGGCAATAGAAGAGCGCTGTGAAGACACTTCTGTCTCTACAAATGGTGTCCAAGGTAAGCGTTATCCCATACACCGACGTGAGCAAGAAGGTCAAAAGGGCAAGTATAAATGCTTGATGATTTGATTCTCCAACACAGCTATTTATCCTCAAAACAGCACAAGGGGATAAAAAAAGCAAACACATTTTTTAAAATTCTCTATATAACTCATATAATAAAGAACAAAGATTTTAAAATAGGGATAGCGTGAATTTCAATTATTAGAAAGTTCTCTTATTTTTCAATTTTAAGGACTTAAAAACTTGTCTGCTGAGAGATGTAGTCTTATATTCTCTGCTCTTTGCAAAGTAGAATCACATCATTAGTTTAACGATAATGCTCAGTAAAAAGCAGAACCTAACAATCTTTTTCAAATAATAAGTGAAGTCTATTACTAAACTGTAGAGATTTAACACTGTAATTACCACAGTAGGGAAAGGGGATAAATATCATTTATAAACACTTACAAACGCTAAATAAGAAGTATTACAGAATGGGAAAATATATGTTCAAATATACCATACTTTTACCCAACACGCACCTTCTACGTTTATTTGCCAACTGCACCCACCCCCACAAGGTATTTTTGTAAGTGTGTTACACTGATTTTTTTCACGGCAACGTGTAACAAAAAAATTGGCGTATGCTTATAAAAATACCTGACGGGGGGAGGCAGTGATTGGCAAACAAACATAGAAGGTGTGCATTATGTGTGTAAAAATCAAGTACTTTAATAAAAAGATCCAAAGAGATTAGGAACATGGTGTGCGGTGGAGAAGAATGTGTAACTGTGCAGACTTCTATCAGGTAAAACATTACATGTTATGGCCATTTGAGGGGCAGGACAGTCAGGTCCTATTTGCCCACTGCACACCATGATGCTCACGTGGGCAGAGGAGTGTGTCTTTAAGTTGAGGCAGTCAGGCCCTCTGCCAACCAGCAACTGTCAATGGGCCCACGCACACCACACGCATACCACACACCCCACGGGAATGACAGACACATAAGTGGAAAATCTAAAAATGAAAACACCCATTTACTCCTAAAGACAAAGCCCCAGACAAGAGCTGCCGCTGACATGTCCACTCCAGTGCTCTCCTGGCCTTTCCTGCATCCTTACCATCTCCTACTATGCTACATGACCAGAATCCTAGACATAAAAAAGCATAATTCATTTACCAGAACTGCCTTAAGAGGGATAAAGCCGCAAACATGCTGCTTATAGCATTGAGGTCTGAATTAACCACATCCTCTTGTTTAGAGTTACTCAATAAAGAGGCAACATTACCTTTAAAACTTGCACATTGTATCTTATGGGCTTTAGTGTCTTCGCTTGTTACTGGCCAGATGGGAGGTTCAAAAGGAGCCCATTTCTTGGCAAATAGCCAAACAGTGAGTGACCCAGTAGGAGCTCAACTCAATGTTGAGTGGAACATCAAAAATGCTTACGAATGTATGGTGAGAAAACAAGAGGCCCCTAGAAAGAGGGAATGCTTTCTTGGTCTCTGTGTTCAAAAGGAATAGTGCAGGGAAATAAGCCTACACTGATTCTCACAAATTCTAAATAAACGAAAATTTATATATATACATGTGTGTATTTATGTATGTATAATTCAACTGTAAATACTTCTCTATTAGCATGGAGAAGATAAATGAAAGGCAAGTTGAAAGAGAACAGCAAAAAAAAAAAGTTTCTGCTACTCCCCTTCAAAAATGACTGAGGGAATTAAATTTGTGAAACTTGAAAAACTGATGACCAAGTGCGAACATCGTAACAGCTCACAAATATCTACAAGGCGTAAAACTAGGAAGGCGAGAAGTTTTAGGATGACAAAAAAGGAAAATAAATACATCTAGAAAGTCTTATGTGAATTTAAATCTTCCAACATACCAGACGCAGTGATGATCCATTCTCCTCACACAGACGCCACATAACCGGCAATGCCACGCGCGGGCTGGTCGCGCCAGCTGGCACTTGGCGCACCAGTCTTCCTTCACCTCGGTGGGGCTGCCAGCCACCATCCTGGAAGGGCCCTTAAGATCATCCTTCATGGTCCGATTGCTGAGGCTTCCCGACATATCTGCTCCAGAGAACGCTTTGGTCTTCTCGTGCCCTGTTCTGTTCAGGGATTCGATTTGGCTGTTGCTGAGAGAACTGTCATTGCTTGCTGGGTTTCTGAGGTAGCCTGGATTCTTCTTGGCTCTGTACAAGGCTAAGAGTATCAGAAACAACCCGCAGGTAAGAACAGCCAGCTGAGTGGGTCCCACACGTCCTTTGGGGACCACTTCCTGAAGGAACACATAGTACATGTAGCCCAGTGAGAACAGTCCGAGGCTCAGGAAAAACAGAGTCTGTTCTTTCCTTCTGTGAGTGAGGTAGTAGTACCACAGTGCCAGCACAGGAAGAGAGATCAAAACCACCACCCCCAGCAGGAAATGCCAGGAAGCCACATGGAGCAAGACGGGCAGTAAGATGAGTGGGGGAACGATACTAACGTTAACTTTTTTGGCTCCCCTGAGCCAAGGAATTCGGAGGCGATCAGAAATTGTATCCATGATTCGTTCGCAAGTCTCTGGCTGTATGGATTTACATTTAATCCATCTATTCAGAAAGAGCACAGAGAAGGCACTTCATGTGGGTTTTTTGAATTAAAAACCACTGAACACTATATACCCAACAACAGGATAAACGACGAAAGTGGCCGAAGGCTAAGATTCTCCTTCCTTTACAGTAAACACAAGCTTTTCAGCTTCATTTGTCGTTTCTTTAATATTAACAAGATAATGTTTAGAAATTTAATGGTCAAGATTATTTCTCCACCAAACAAATACATATAAAGACTCATATATTCCATTCAATCCTGTTTAGACCTAGACGGGCACACCATCATTAAGAATCTCAAAAACTTTCAAAATTTAGTTAAGACAAGACACATGGGAATTTAAGAACTATCAGATAAATGACAAGGCAGCAGAGGTCACCCATGAACTGTCATGCTCAAGGGTCTTCAGGAGCACTCAGGGGAGAGTCAGCACCTGTGGTGTGAGCTAAAGAGAGCTCCTTGTGGAGAGGGGGCATGTGTGCCTGACCCTGAAGGATGGCTATCATTGGCCCAGGCGGAGAGAAATGTGTGCGGTACAAAACCTGCCCGGGCCCCAGGATTACACCAGCCTGGCAGGCGCCAGGGTCTGCATCAGGAAAACGCCTATGAATCTGATGACTGAGACTGGAGAACAGAATGCTATTTGTTGAATTTTTGTACTTGTCTTTTTTAGTTAGTCTAGTAAGGAAAGGAACAGTTTAAGGAACTCTAACTTTGGTTTTAGACAGGCAACTAAAACAGCAGGGCTAGAGCTGCTGAGAGCAGGGGGTGACTACAGGGGAGGCAGGAATGGCAGCACTGTGTGCCGATTCCGGAGGAGGGTATGGAGAGCAGAGGACAGAGCTGGGGAAGGCCCAGCTGCAGGGGCATGGAGGCAGGAAGAGTTAGCAAGGCTAATGGGAGAGCTGCGGTCTCAGTGATGATGGTGCTGGAGGCAGCGGCATCTCTCCACTCACTGGTGCAAAACACTCCATTTTCTTAGTGTGGATTTTAGACTACAGACTCGAAAGAACCTGTATTTAAAAACACCTGTAAGAAAGACTACTGTATAGACACTGTCAAGGAAGAATTACAAAGGGGTTATGGGGTCTTTAGGAGTCAAGGTTGGTACCAGACTGCAGCAGTCCCTAAGGAAAGCTTTTAACGGCTACATTAATGCACCAAGCTCTAAGTCAGCAATTAGCTGCTGCAGTGACTTTCTTAACTAGAAGTAATTATTAATGGGAAAAGCAAATTTCCAACAACTCTATTCCTCTCTATTACAGTTTTCATATAACTTAAAATATATACATACTTATTTAGAAAATGGATATAAGCCAGGTTACTACTGTTGGGTACAGAATTTCTTCAGTGATGTGAAAAATGATCTTTCTGGATAGTAATCTCTATCACTGGGGACAGTGATGAAAATAAAAGCCAAGTACAATATGACCAGACAGTACTGCTGCTCACACTGAAATAAATAACGCAGTCCCGAAGAGGGATACGTCCCCTGGCTGGAGCTCCTCCCCAGACGCAACGGGCAAGACCAGTTACTATAGGGAAAATGAGCTTTTAAGCCCCCAAGGCCCTTTGTGGCCGGGTACAACCCAGTCCTCAAGTCTCTAAATGCTAACACCACTGAGATCATCAAAACTTTCTGGAACTAATGTGTTTATTTTACATACACACATACACTTCTCTACTAATCCTTTTTCTGCCTCTTCTCTCCTTTTTCTTCTCCTTTTAAATAAAAAACAGTATTATCATAGGAAGCTGAGCAGACAGTTGTGCGCTATTGCATAATCCATCTTCATAAAACCCTCACACTTGACACAGAAGACAACTTTCAATTTTAGATCCTTGAGAAGAGAATCTGGAGCTAATTCCAGCGTTCTGGAAGGCTACACTGGAAACATACGGTAGTTCCTGGAAGGGCAGCGGAGTGGGCATCAGGAAACGCTCTGCTCTTACCTTTCACAGCCTTCATCGAGATCTTGGCAATCACACAAGCAGGCAGCCATGTGGTTCTTCTCCCCATTTCGATCTATGTACTCGCAGCAGCACAGGGGCTCCAATTCAGGCTCCTGGGTTTTCTTTTTCTTCGCAGGCTTCATGCTGCCCTTCTGGGTCATGACCTGCACTTGCCACCATGAGCTGTAAGAAGCTCTCTGAAGGTTAAGGTGGAAAGAACACAGCTCACCTCCTGTCCACGCCTCTCAGGTTAGCCGCCAACGCCTAAACAACCAAAAACAAAAAAGGGAGAGGGTCCGCTTTCCCCCGTTTGGTGGCTCCCCTAGCCCAGGCACCGGCTCCAACTCGGGGCTGCCTCCCCCGCCCTCACCACCCCGGCGGGCGCGTCTGGGCATCCCGTTCCCATGGCAACAGCCTACCACGCGGCGGGACAGCCGGGCGCGGGCAGAGCGCTCGCCGCGGTGCGGGCTGCGGAGGCCGGGCCCGCCCGAACCCGGGCAGGTGGACGCTCACCTCGGGCCACGGGGAGAAACGAGGCGTGTGCCCGGGACGCCCGGCGGCGCTCGGGGGCGCCTTCCAGCCGCTCTACCGCCCGCCCATCATAAGGACGTGGACGGGCCACGCGCCCCGCCCATCCGCAGAGTGACCTTGCAGGGGAAGTTACCTGCCCTCCGGGCGGGGGTGCGGCCGCAGCCGGAGAGACCCAGGGGAAGCGGACTCCTCCGCCGGCGTGGCGAGTCTCCGCCCTCGGTGCCGCGGAACCCAGACTCTGCTCGGCCGCGCCTCGCCGCTGCCCACCTGTGACCACGGCCCGGCGCAGCCCCCTCCCGCCGCCGTCCCCGCGGTCCGAGGTGGCCGCCTCGGTGCCGAGAGTCCACGCGCTTCCGGGTGCGCCACCCCCCGACGCC